AAGAGCGTCAACGGGCAATCAACAATGGAGTTCTTGTTCCCACCTCTGTGACCATGGGGGATCCATCTCATTCAGCTGCTATCGCTGCGATAGCTAACGTCAACCTAAAGCCAAAACGAGATCGTCCATTCTGCACTCATTGTTGCTTGCAAGGTCACACAATCAACAGATGCTATAAGCTTCACGACTTCCTTCTTGGTTATAAGCCAAAAACCAAACAAGTTCCAATTAAGCCACAGGCTAATCAAGTTACAGCAACGGTAGTTGAAGAGCGCACCTCTGAATCCTTAGTTAAGGATTTGACTGCTTCTCAATGCTAGCAACTTATTGTTCTTTTGAGCTCTCTGTTCTAGACAAGTGCCTGCTCTGTTTCAGATCCACAATAGCCTGGACTTTCTGTGTTAAGCTTCAGCAGTATTCTTTCACTCTCTTCTGTTTCTACTTTGTCCTGTGTTCAAATTCCTTCCACATCTTGGGTTCTGGACACAGGAGCAACCCACCATGTTTGTTGCTCCTTTTCATGTTTTAACAGTTGTAGGCCTGTAGTTAATTCCTCTATCTCTCTAACCACTTATCTCACGGTACCGATCACTCGCATAGGTTCTGTTCGTTTATGTGATAGTCTCACTCTCCACAATGTTCTCTACATTCCACAATTTCATTTTAATCTCTTGTCAATCAATTCTCTCACTCTCCACAATGTCAGATTTTCCTTTTCAATTAATTCATTGTGATATATGGGGGCTTTTTACACCAATAAGTACTGAGGAATATCGATATTTCTTAACCATTATAGACGATTGCACGTGTTTTACCTGGGTATATTTAATTCGTGCTAAATCTGATGTCAAAACAGTTTTTCCAGAGTTTTTCACCTTAATTCAAAGCCATTTTAATGTGGCAATAAAATCTGTTAGGTCTAATAATGCTAAGGAATTGTCATTTTCTAAATTTTTTTGTTACAAAAGCTTCATTCCTTTTCACTCTTGCACAGACACACCACAATAAAATTCTATTGTGGAAAGAAAGCACCAACATATCCTTAATGTAGCTCAGGCTCTCCATTTCCAATCAAACATACCATTGGTTTATTGGAGAGATTGTGTGCTCACATCACTTAATCTAATAAATCGAACCCCATCACCTCTCTTGTCCAATAAAACTCCATTTGAACGTCTTTAGAAAAGATGCCATCCTATTCTCATCTTAAGGCTTTTGGTTGTTTGTGTTACGGTTCCACACTTCCTAGACATTGCACTAAGTTTTCTCCTAGAGCAATTAAGTCTGTATTTCTTGGTTATCCTCCAAGGTATAAAGGATATAAGCTCCTCGACCTTGCCACCAATTCCATTGACGTCTCTAAGGATGTTGTTTTTCATGAGACAGTGTTCCCTTTCTAAAAGGAGACTGTTTCAGATTCTTCTTTTGATTTTTTCTCTGACCGTGTGTTGCCTTATGTCTCTAATGTCGAGTCTTCTTTCCTATGCCTAGTAATCCAATTACTCATATTCCCACATCTTCCACACGTCCAACTCATCAAGTAAAATCATATTCATATCTTCGAGACTATCACTTCTCTAGTGTCTCTCACACTCCATCATCCACTGTACATCCTCTCTCACATATGTTAAGTTATGACAAATTATCTCATGAACATGAAGCATTTGTCATGCTGTTTTCACACACTTCGAACCAATTAGTTTCTCACAAGTTGTTGCTATACTGGAATGGAGAAAGGCAATGACTGTAGAGCTTGAGACTCTTGAGCAAAATGACACCTGGTCTGTGACTTCTTTACCTCATGAGAAACACCTTGTTGGCTGTAAATGGGTGTACAAAATCAAATATTAAGCTGATGGAACTTTATAGCGTTATAAAGCTCGCCTTGTCGCCAAACGGTACACGCAACAATAGGGTATTGATTACCTTGAT